TATTATTAAGAATTACTAAGTTTCGTTCATAAAATTATATTTGTTGTTCTGCAATAATACAACACATCAGGAAAAGAACAGTCTGCACGTATGATGGATACAAGAGGCGAAACAAGTTAGTCATGGTCGACAAAAAAGGGGAAAAAGAGACGTGCACATGTTCGATAAATAGTAACCGAAGAACTGAAGACAGTTAAGATAGCAAAAACATTAGGCTATGCCCATCGAACGTGATAGAGACTTCCAACCTACCACCCTCTGTAGATAACGAACCATCTACCCTTGTGTATGATAAATATAACGCCTTGCACCGCTCCATCACATCACAACCCTCGAGGATCTCTCATCAAACCCTACCACAGACACAAGACTACCGTACAACACCCCGTTAGTTACCACTCTGTTCACCTCACCCTCACCCACCGCTGCATAGTATGATACCAAGCCAGTAGATGCTCACTACGCTATGATAACCCAACCCGGTGGTTTCGGGTACCCCGTGGCCAGTAATAACGACATGTGTCACACTCGAAAAAACAAAAGTTTGGACGAAGTTAGATTACCACTGGTCGGTGGGGGTTGTTCCATTATACCAGTGACTACTGTAGAAGGTCTATACCAAACATGGACATGCACACCACTATACCCATCTGTCGATGGGTAACTAGTGCGCTGGGTAACCTCGTTCCAATATAGTACATGACCGGCTGGCGTCAACGGCCCCGGAAGTGGTACCGTACATGCCATAGTATTCTGTCGCGCGTTCCCGGGTACTATGCTCCATTCTGATCACCATCCGGGGGCACCCTAACAATCCCTTGGCGTAGTCCCTCCCTCCCTCGCCGGCGTATCTTGTAACCCTGTCTAACGGCACATGCACAGACAACCTATTCGCAGGCCTAACGACGATGTTCGGGTAGATACAGAAAAAAAAAAGGAAAGGAAAAAAGAGATGAAAGGTGGAAAATGAGCTGTCATGTTCATTGGTCAGCGAATGATCTGTCATGACGGCAGCGTGCGGGAGTACTAGTACAGCACTGTAATAATACGCGCTTGTGTCAACACGCGAATACAATTGCTAATGGGTTCTTCCTGGATGTATGCCTACGTATGCATCAGATAATACGTGTGGAATGGGCACGGGGTGCGGATCACGGGCTTTTTCATGGATCGCATCGGGCAAAGGCTCATCTCATCGGTTTTTCTCGAAAAAAAGGACTTCATTGACTGGCCCGTCCCCACCCATCCCAAAAAAAACAAGAAACCAAACCAGGTAACAGATATAGAACGAAATGAAACCAAGCGCAAAATGGTAAACTCGAGTGACAAGGCATGACCGACACTTACTCCTTTTTGACACCACGCTGAGGGAGGGGGGAGATGAAAAAGGTGAAGAGAGAAAAGAAATGAAGAAAAGATTTTCATTATCCTCTATCGGCGACGATCCGCGCAAAACCCGAAGCAAAGAAATAGCGCAGAGGTAAGGGAAAGGAAAGGAGAGGAAGAGGGGAGTACGATAATAAAACACGATACAAGGAAATAAGGGGAAAAAAGAAAAAAAATACCACCGTGCTAACCCCGGAACCCTTAGACAAATGAGATGGGAAGAAAAGGCAAAGAAAAGGAATAGAGGAGAAGATAGTAAGCTAACCCAGAAGCGGAAATCAAGAACAAGCCCAGCAAGTGAAAAGTAATATTACACCCCACTCCGCACTTGAACACGAATCGACAGACCAACAAAATCACCTATCCGGACCAACGCACGCTGGCGCACACTCCTTCCCCATAAACCCAGAACCACCACCCCTGATACCCCCCAGGCCATTTCCGTCCCTTGCCATATCGGCCAGTACCAAGCATCGATACTTTGATGCAACGTCCGGCCAAACCTCCTTGATCCGATCAAAAACTCCGAGTATCAACTCGATCTTTGCGCGAACGCCCTTGTCCCGACCAGTTTCTAGCCAGCGCACGGCAAGGATACGTGCGGAGAGGAAAAGGGACGGGGTGATGAAGGGATTTTGTAGGACATCTATCACGACTAGAGACCCTGTTGGTGAACATGGCGGCGGGCTGTTGATGTGTGTTCTCAGGATGGAGAGGATGTTGTTCACCGCTGAGACGCAGCGGGTAAAGGCCGGTTCGGCCGATGAGAGGTCGTGGATTGAGGAGCCCGGGGATTGGCCCCGGTTTTGGTGGAGTTGGCCGTCGGAGGAGGATGATAGAGGTGAAGTCGGTACCGGGACGGTTGGGTGGTAAAGGAGGATTGTACAGACGTGGAGGAGGATTTGAAGCTGAGTAACGTGTGTCACTTCTGAAGGACTGAGTTCCACAATGCTACGATACCTCCTAGGGAGAGAAAGTCGGAAACGTGCGAGAGTCGTTTCGAGGGACTCAAAGTCCGTATTATCGGTCGGAGCAATGGGAGAGTTGTGATACGAAACAATACGGCCAATGAGAACCGCGAGCTTGCAGAGATAGTGAAAGGGTCCTCTTGGTGGAGATGAGGCGCTCGTAGGGCCGATCAGGTCAGCCAAATTATGCGCAAATGGCTCCACGACGATATGTGACATTTTCTAGGAGCTGCGAGTTAGTATAATGAATGCCACCGGCCAAGCCTACCAAGAGAACATACCTCGATCTCCCCGCTCTGAAATACATCTTCATCGACAGGGAAATTCACACAAAAGTCACGATCATTGATAGCCAAAGGCCAACCGCACGAGCACGAACAAAAACTATCTAAGACATATAGCCCCCAAGCAGCCCTTCTCCTCTCCTCGAGATCCTGTTCCGATTTCGGATGTGGCAGGAAGCCCTGAAACCTTCCCCTTCGCGGGGAATCAATCTGATGCAAACCAAGCGGATTCGACATGCGATAACCTTTGCCAAGGAATATCCACAACTCAGACAGTTCGGCTGTAACAAAACAGTACATGCATATGTAGATCGAAGCTTGAACATTATCAAGAGAATAATTGCCACGGGTAACTGCAGCATCGAAACCGCGCTTGGCGGCGGCATGCCAACGAGCTGATCTATCCTGCACAGCTGGCGCAGGATGGATCAGGGAAGCCAATGCCAAAACCACAAACACCAAAGGAAGCGGTTTGGACAAACTACCGCCTGGCTGAATGTCGGCGAGAATTTGCTTTCGGTAAAGACATGGAATGATTGGGTGAACTTGGTCAAAGAACAATTCAAACAACTCCACGATAGTATCGTGTGACGGTAATTCCTCAAGCACACCTCCTGCATCATTGTTGACCAATGTAATCGCACTATTAGTGCTCTCAGGGGTCTCTATATCTTGAGGCGAAAGGCTTTTGTTCTTTTTAGGCCTATCATCCCAAGCGCCAACCCCAGCCGGCGAACCCCAGGGCACGATGTTAATAGCATCCAACCCCACAAACGGAGAAGCTTGCAAGAATTGACAGGCAAAATTACCTGCCTGGTTCGAGGCGGTATTGTCATAAGGCCTCTTGGAATTTTTGCTCGAGTCACAAGATTGAGTAACCTCATGGCGCAGACCGGAATTCCCGTTAACCATGGGGGGCTGCGATGTAGACTCAAGGTTGATCGGGGTGAAAGTATTGTGGTTCGGGACCGCAACACCTGAGGCGACGGTGGAAGCGACCACTGTATTTGCGGGCACATGTTCGGAGCGGTCTGCACGCGGGGGAGGAGCCCCGATCTGGAGCGCCTGAGAATCTTCGTTTGTCGCATTTGGAGCCCATTGTTGTAAAGGTTGGCTGGCTTCTAAGGAGCCAGAAATTAGCACATACAAATATCATCTATCACATATACGCACCCCCGATCATATTGCAGCACGAGCACAAGCTCAGTCGCAACCGAAACGTTCCAAGACCACCGGAATAGGAAACTTACTCTGAGTCTGATGAGATGCCGAAGATGACGAATGGATCTTTGTTACAGCAGCGGAACTATTCTGCGAGTACTGACATTTTCTCTCCAGGCGCTCACAAGCACCGCAAGTCGGTTTCCCACCCTACGTACAACGGATAGTCAGCATTCCCAAGTTCTTTTTCCTACAAAGAATATTTACCGATTGTTTTCATTTTTTATTTCTCAATTTAGAAGAGAGGGAGGGAAAAAAAACCGCGAGCCGGTAGGAACACCATTCAAAACAAGAGCGAGTGCAAGGAGGGGGACTAACATCACATTTCCTCTTGCGCGAGCGACAAGACAAACACGCCTGATTCCTCTCCAAGACCTTTTTTGTCGGAGGAGTTGAGACGGACGCGTGAACGGTAGAATTAGGAGGAGAGGAAGAGTTGTGGCTATTCACCGCGTTACCATTTCCATGATCGTTGCGATTCCCGTCGGAGAGGGGGCGTTTTGCGGGGATAGCAGATGAAGGCGAAGATACACTGATTGCAGGAGCGGGGGGAGGCGACCCAGGGCTGCCCGCCATAGTGATACGCCTCAACCGAAGTGTACGGTACTGAGATATTATTTTAAAGCGGGAAAAGGGTAAATGGTAAAGTATATTGAAAGAGAGGGAACAATAGTGCTGGGGATAGGTGGGCAACAGAAACGAGAGGAGAGAGCAGCAGAAGCAACTTGTTGTTGCCCCGGCAGGAGGCTGAGGGTGGTGCTGGTGGGTGGGCAGTAGTGAAAATATTACAGCCCGGAGTGGTTGAGAGCGACAACAGGAACCACAGTGTTGAAGCAGCTAAACGGTTACGAGAACGGGGAAGGGTAGTGGGAAATTCTGAGTGGTGAGGATGAAGAGATGGAGGGGTGGGAGTGGAGGAGGAGGAGAGTGGTGGAAGGGAATGTGTGGGATGAGGGTAGGGGAAGGTAGGTTCTGGGATGGGAGAGAGGGGAGTGGAGACTCTTCTTTGGAGGGAGAACTGCGCACCAGCAACAAGAGCGGGAGAAAAAGGCGGCCTCGGAGCTGGGCAACAACACCACCCAAAAAAACGAGTGGGCGACAGGCGACAATCAGAAATTTACAAAAAGGGTGACCAAAGCCCGATGCGACTGCAGATTCTCGGCAAAGTTAGAAAAGAAAAGAAAAAAAATAAGTTGCTGGGGTAAATGTATTCTTACTGGGTGGAGACGGAAGGGCTCAGAGGGAGGGGATGAGCAGCAGAAGCAGCAGTAGCAGCAGTAGCAGCAGCAGCATAAGAAGAAGCAGCAAACCCCAGCCAGAGAGAACGGTGCCTTGAGCGAAAGAGAAATTTTGTCGGGCCGGAGTGGGTGGTGGAGAGGATATGGAGGCGTAAACGACAAGTCAGTACCATTCAGTAACGGGGTTCAAGACCTTCCCCCCCCACCCGCACCAAAATCTATATTTACTACCGTATTGCAAGTAATAGAACTATTCGCGAAAGGATTCCTTTTTTAAAGCCTTTTCTCTCTCCCGAATCTGCTCTTTCAGAGTTTCTAACCCCTTCTCAAGCATTCGTCGCTCTTCCCCACCCCTCCTCGCATAGCGGTACGTTTTGGTTACCGCGCCGTACCTCAAGATGGGTGGGCACGGTAGGTGGGTATCGTAGGAGGCAAGTAGTGGCAGCATACCTGCGATAGCCTGCCTGCCTGGTCGCTCTGCTTCCTTCTTTCACCCTCAAGCCCTCACGCCCTCACTCCCAGCCCACCACCACCGTCGTCACAACCACATCCACCAACCCACCCACCCACCACCACCTTTCTTCCCTTCCCCACCACCTCACAGCCATAATATTGATACAGTAAAAAGGTGTGCGGCGGAGCCCAAATCTCACCAATCCCTTCGTCCCCATGCCAAACCCAAAACAAGCGACAACCACAATGTTGTCTTCCCTGCCCCCCCTCCCTCCCCAGCCGTAGCAGTGTAAGGAGGAAATATAGGCTCAAGCACCGTATGATACCATGTTACATAATCCAGCCGCGCCGCCCCGCCGGCCGATCCTTCCGCCGTGGTCCCGACACAGATACTTTACACACACGCGCGCTTCCTTCCCCTCTTCCTGGCCGAGGAGGGCCCAAAATGGAGAACCCCCTGGTACCACCATTCCCGCCACAAACCAACCAATCACATGGCTCGCTTACCACGCCACAAATATCGCCACTGTAAGGGCGGCCGGACGGACACGCGCCGCGTGCCGTCCCAAACCCGACACATTTTGTGAAGGGAGGGAGAGGAGTTGTTGTGCACGAGACGGAGAAAGTTAACCCTAGACGGGATAGGATTTTGATATCATCGTACGATACAATACATCACGCCCGCCGGGGAAGCTTGAAGGGGGGGCAGTGGGAAAGCTGGGAAATATCGTGGGGGGGAGGATGGGATTTTGTTATTTTTTACCCCCGGTTACAAGTACGGTATTTCACTAAATGCGATCAAGCTGTCATGTATCGTCACTCGAATCGGCTACCGGTACTGTATTCCATTTTCCCTGCTTTCTAAAAATGTTTCTCCTCTCGAGGGAGAGAAGGAACGCCATAATTATAGCGCGGAAGAAGAAAAAACGTTAGGCGCTAGTGGCTAGCTTTAATAGGCCAATACCATAAATCCCCCCATAATATACAAGTATTACCCTCCTGGCCGCAATCACCGCACCAGGACATCGCCCCATTTTTGTCCCCCCCGGTCCCTGGCCCCCCTGGAACCATGGCGATGGAAGGGGAAAAGAAAAAAGGAAAGTGGAAGCTTACGCGGAATGTAACGCGGAAGATAAACCGTTGATACTTATGAACCCCTAAATACCCTTACCCTATTGCACCATGCACTACTAGTAGTCAGACTTCGCCATGTTACATCTCCGTTCCGAATGGCTTCGGCAGCGGCTGTGAAATGCTTCCGGGGTCGTTGCTCGCCGTTTTGGAGAACGGTACGCATGGTGATAAGGCGTTACGGTTTGTACCAGCAAGCACCCAAGGTGGCTAGGGGAGAAAAAAAAAGAAGGAAGGGAGGAAAGAGGGGAAGGTAGCGAGGAAAGTGTGCTCTCGCCGTGGCCGGGGATATCTGTATCCCGGGTACTGCCGTATTACGCCGATTAAGATGGAAGAATGATGTACCGTACCGTGTCACACCCTGCTCGGCTGTGTTGCCAAGAGTGCATCTCTCAACCGAATCTTCAGCAAGGAGCCTCAAATGTCACGTGTCGACTATCGTAAGATATCCAACAGTGTCCGTTCAGTACTCGAGTACATAGCAGGCTCCCGGCATAGTCTAGGGAGCTATCCATGGGTCCGGGAGAGGTAGTGGGATAAGCCGAACTTTGGCTTTAATACGCCAGGTAGTGTCTGAGATTTTTTGTGGATGGTTTGTTATGGGGCGCGAAATAAGGTGCCAAGTTATGATAGTTACAATCCAGAAACTTTATTCGTTTTGGGGTTCCAAAATGAATCTTGCCTCAAGCTTAGGACAAACACCGTACCCCAATGAAACCGAGTATAGATTTTGGACATTCCCTGAGACCGGTTGCCCACGCTATATACAATGGCAGACTCGCACAGTACCTCTTCGTAACATAGCGGGACCGCACTGAAGTGGCCAAGAGCCATTTCCACGAGAACATCCAGTGCGGTCGAGGGGAAAAGGGAACAAAGAATACGAAGGAGAGGGGGGGGCAGGAAACTAAGGTCGGCAGGAAACAAGCAAGGTTTCTCCTGAAATCGAATCAAATCGCCCAGAAGATTCTTGTCTCAGCCTACTGTACCAATATTGCCAGTAGGTTGCGCTACCATGGATAAGGCTTAGATTTAGGCGAGAGCACGGCTGCCGGTATATCATAGCGGCAATATCCAGACGTTTTGTAGAGAGGACTGCTGTTGCATGTGGGACCACGATTTAACAGCTCGAGGCCAGTCCTCACGGGCCGCGTGGCCACACTTTGCTTACTAGGGAGGAGGAAATCATTTTATATCTCAACCAGAGACGGAGCCAACGAATCGGTTCTTTCTTCAGAGTTCGAGGCAGCAAGAACTACCAGAATGCTTCACAGTAAACGGACTTTCGGAGGCCGGAGTAGCATAGTACCTGCAACCCCGCACTCCTGGCTACTATGTTACAGCCTCCTCTTGATCCGGCACCACTACCCTAGGCTAACCTCACAGCGGACTCGTTTACGAAACAAATGGTTGATTCCCAGCTGGCCGCACCGGCGGAGGGGAGGCTTTGAGTGAGTTGAAGAGTGACGGGAATACCCCGTCTGAGACAGGCTCAATGAAAGGGAGCGCAGTACACCGCCGAAAGGGGCAAGATAGAGTCACGGACCGGCGTCTGGCAAGGTATTTATTAACGTTGAGCAGGTTCGGTAGGGGGTTTTATGATCTGGGATTGAGGGGCAGGGTTGCAAGGTCCAAAGTCGGGAACGGTGAAAAGCTGGAATAGAGTTAGACCATACTTAACTGCCTAGGTGCTTGTCAGGTGAAATCCGTGAAATCCGCGGGACCCGTGGAACCCTAGGTATGATGCCTAGGAAATATTGGAGACGCTCAGCGCTTCACCAGGTACCGTAGGCACTGATAAATTCCATCGTCCCCGCCCTTGGTGTTGCTAATCCGGGTCTACTCAGCTGGGAGGTAGGTATTGGATTTAACGAGCAATATCATAAGAAATTAGTTTTCCGGACGTAGTTTTGCTACAGAGGTATCTGTAGCTCGGTAACCTACGTGTCCTCGACACAGCAATCACTCTGGTGGAAAAGCAACGAGAGCATACTCTTCCGAGTCCCAATAAAATAGGGTTCCTATACCTTCGGCTCGTCCTGACGGTGAGGGGATTTGAGCGGCTGGGTGACCCGAATGATCCCGCATCAGCTATTTGTATATTTGAGGAAGTAATAGGAGATACCCCTGATTGCTATGCCGGCGCACTTTTGCTTCAACCGGACAGAGGGCTTTCGCGGCCTCTAGGAAGTTGTAATGCACTGCGAAACTGGAATACTAGTCGCGACCACCCAAGCCGAGAAGCCATAATAGGGAGCATTCATGATATCTGGCAAGCTGTGAATCACGACCAAGTCGAGGTAGCAGCCGCTGCTCAAGATCGCTCCAATCGGGCAGTCAGGGTAACTGAGTCCTCAATCACAAAGCTTGAGTCTTCTCGGTTGCCGGAACAAAGCAACTGAGTTGCTCTCGGAGCAGTAGGGATGGAACGTTTGAGTGTCAACATGTCGCAATGCTATGCCTTGAGATGGATCTGGGGCACTTCCTCGGGTCTCCAATACAGTCAATATTGGAGCATTTTTAGTGGAGCATGGTGCTGGGGGCGGTGTATATGGACCGATAACGGTGATCTCTAGGGAACTAGCAATAGTCCTTGCACAAATTTGGTATGATGCGACAAGTACAGCATCGCCCATTTCGCCTGCTTGCCACACTGTACCTGACACCAACTCTTATGGTAGCCACTTGATCCTGCTCACGCCGGATGGAAAGAATGCAAACAAGGCGATGGTTCGAGATATACCAAATGCAACTCCGAGAGCCCTAGCCCGCCTATCTTGCAGAAATTCTGCCCCGGCGGGGCTCCTGATGCGGTAGGTAGGATTCAGCTCACCATCCCTTAGCCTTTCCAACTGCGATAAAACCAACTTCCTTCATTCTAACTAGCTATTCCACAATTTCCCTGATTGTTGAACATGTCATAAGGTATCACTCGTAACTTATGTACGGTGCGAAGTCTGCTAACCTCCGTGGGTTCGGACCCACCGGGACCAAATACCTGCGCTTGGCCGTCGCCTCACAGTACCGGAGTCACCCTTGTCGCGCAACTGGGAGGAGTGCAGCTCCGGCCCCGCAAC